AATGTCGTTTCTCATTTATTTCACCATTAGTGGAAGACTTGCCCGCCTCAGACCGCGACGCAAACCGCTCGCAGTAACAAGCCTCTTAAAGCAGGCAACGCAAGCACCCGATCCATATGCTGAGCAAACTCTCAGGACCCAAGCCGAATGGTCACACAAAATCACCCCCCCCCCACATCTTCCTCTTTCTTCTCCATTTCTCTGGGTTTTTTTTTTCTGTTTTTTTGGCACTCTCACCTTGTTGGCACACAACTTGTGAAAATTTTTGTCTCGTGTTGCGTTGCTAACCAGCCCGCTGGGATACCCTAGACGACACCCGAGAATGCTCCTTCCCAAGTTAGGAACACAATTGGCATGGCAACCGAGAAAAGTGACCCACTTCAGGACACCTATTTTGTGAGCCGCAATGGTTATTCCAACATGGATGCTTCAATTTCAGGTCCAAACCATTCTTTTTAAGCATAAATCTTTGAAGGTGTTTCCTTCCCTCACAAAACGGGCAAGTCAATTTGTCTCAAGTTACCTCCCTCAAATTTTGTTTTAAATGGAAAAGCAAATGAAATCAAATTACGTGTGTGGTTTTACTCTTGGGGAGACATAAATGCAAGCTGGGTACTTTGCATTTGCTCTTCATCGGAAAAAAAGGCGCTTTTTGTTGTTCATTTGGGGAAAAAAACACACTTCACATCAGAGTAAATTTTAGTTAACATCATAACACAGACCAGTATGAACAATCACGGTAAATTTATGCATATGTATGTATATATTTCTAACAGTGAAAACTGACAAATTTTGTGCATTCCAACCTTCTTGACAATAATAACTTTTCTCTGCCTGGACGGCACCCGTACATAAAAATCGTCCGAATGCATACAAGTATTCGCGCCATGCACTCGGCCAATGGACCCAACTCCATCCAACAAAATATTAAGCTGGACACAGGGAGAGATGCTTCTCTTTAGTTTTCTGCCTCACTCAATTATTTTTCTGCTAGTTATTGGTTGACGCAAAGCAAAGACATCCCTGTCAACTAGCTCAAGAAGGTCCCTTGGTCCAACGGCCAGCAGGTACACGGTCAGACCCAATTTTCCCCTCATCTTAGATTGCCAGCCTATCGCCATGGCAACGGAGGCATTCCCCTCCTCCCAGTTGCCCTCCGTGGAATTCAGCTAGGCCGATGTTTCCAGACCCTGAGCCACTTGTTCTCCCGTCATTTTTTGTCTCTCGACCGCTGACAGGTCAGAGCTAATGGCCTATTTTGCGAGGGGGAGCGGGCCAGGAGAACCGAAAAATAATGAGGTTGGGACATTTTGCTCGATTCCGAATGCTAACAGAGAAAAGAACAGCCAATATTGATCTGGCTTGTTACTGAGGCCGACCGACTGGCACTGAGCAAAGTACCAAGGATGATTGCAGCAGAGGGGGTGGCATCACAAAGCCGAAAAGCCAAACACGCTACTTGAAGATTTGGAATACGAAAATAAGCACAGAAGTGCAAGTACATGTACCGCCAAGGAGCAGCGTGAAGTTGTTTTTTTAGGGTCTACATTTCTTCCAAGAAGAATCAATACAACAACTGCTTCACAAATCCGATAACGGTGCAAGTCAAGTCTTATCTGAGCGCCTGAAAAAAAACACCAAAATTAGCCTCGCATGATAAAAAATACACTGCTGTTTCAATTCCTGTGATATATAATTGCGCAGGGGCTCCACCTACACATGTACTTGTACCTGGCATAAATCGACCAAAGCAATTGAATGGGAACAGTGAGTGAAAAACATCTAACAATAAATGACCCGGTACATTGCAATCACGAATAAGTCGCTGAGGCCGTTTTTACGTAAAGGCCAAGTAAAGTGGGGATGTGGGTAAATATGGAAAAAAAATCGATGGGACAGTTTCTGTATATTTTGGAATGTATGAAAGGTTACCATCAACACACTTGTAATGGGTGACGTTTGAAAGCTTATGAAATTCTCTTTCTGACCATGTGTGTGTCTAAAAACGTCAATTTGCAGCTTATTCCTGATTTCGATGTACATGTACCGGGTCACGCATAATGAGAGTCCTGCTGATATAAAAAACTGTGTACTCGAGAAGAAAGACACTATAAAAGCAATTGTATGACATTGGTTCGACATGGGGATATCATTAAAATCAGCATTGTCACAACATAATGCATATGTTTCACAACTTATGCTCAGATGTCAATATTAACTATTGACATATGCAGTATATACCTATTTTACCGGTATATATACCAGTATAACCAAAAAGGTTAAAATGTTATCGAAAAATAATTGAGGATCATAATCGATGAATTTTGCTGGCAGTGAATGGGGAAGTGAATGCACAAATTTTAATTGAGTGGAACAGAGCATGAAAAATGTGGAAACTAATCGAAGTACAAATTTAAAACACAAGTCAGGACATTACCTTTGCCTGTGCCCCTGAGGAAAATCTTTTTAAGCCTCTCGCGACCCGAATGTGCCAATTTAATCACAACTCGGTAGCAGCGTGTTTAATGCATGTAACTCGACGCTCATCGGCGCATAAGTTAATGTGATTTGAAATGAAAATTACCCCCTACCAAAATGTCCTTCGGGTTGGAGAAATTTTTTCTTTTTTTTTCCATTTTGGATATTTGCATGAAAAATGCAACCTCAACCTTTATTTTTTTATAGCCTTGGATGCAAATAAGATATTCTCAATACAAGCACAAAGTGATGCAATGAAAGTTAATTCAAACATACTATGCACGCTTACTTCAAGAAATGCAAAAAATCTGTGACGGAAAACGGCTAATTCAGTCTCTTTTTGCCAAAAAAACCCCCCCCAAAAACGGTCAATGTCTATCAGGGATTTTAGTAAGCATTTAGAGGGTGAACACACCGAGACGACCTCACAGTGCAAGGGGTTCCCACTAGATTTGGAGGGGGGGGCTTTTAATGCAATCGTTCCTTAAAAGCTCCATTTCTAGGCAAATTCATCTAAGTGCACGTGTATGGATACTCTCCTAATGCAGCAAATGGGACTTAGCAAGAGACTCGAGAAGATTAAGGGGGGAAAAGACTCTTCTCCTTTTTTTTCTCCCCACTTTCCCAATGCGGCTGAGTCTACCCTTTTTTGCATGCTTCCCCAATGATCATCTCCTTAGATTACGGTGTTTGACCGTCGGTAGATTGTAAATGAGCCATTCGGAAGGTTAAGCTACTCAGTTTCGTTTGCTTGGCAATTATCTAAGACAGACACGTCAACTTGATGCGTCTCTATCTGTGCGCTCAGAAATGATAATCTGTTGTGAACTGTGGTTTCGAGAAAAGAAAATTTGCCCTTAAATAAAATATGTCACTCTCCTGTGTTCTCCAGACGATTTGGGGACTGACAGAACTTCTCTCATCTTGACTGCCCTGAGCACAATATCACCAAGTTGCAGCCAATGAACAGGGGAAAAAATGCTTAACTACCATAAAGAAGTGGGAGATTACTGTACAGTGCCTTGCCCAAGAACACAAGCACCCTGATACCTGTAAGGGTTTGAAGGCATGCGCAGTTGCTGTCACTGTGCTGCACTCAGGAAACAATGAACAGAGCTCCAAGACATGTAGAAACTATTTTCAACAGACCTGAAATTGTGCAGCCAAAGGAATAAAAGCTACTCCTTTGATTTCTTTTCCTGGAAAGATATTAACAATCGAAAATAATACTTCCGAACTCACAACAGGCCAATCAGGATCAAGACAGCTGCTGCGAACACAGGACATTAGTCTATAAAATACATGTAACCTCCGTGTGCCTGAATGAGCTAACGCAAGACTGTCCATTTTTAAGGGCTTCTCTGCAGTCAACACACATCAGTCTTATTTACATTTTTTCCACATCGGGGGGGGGTGTATAAATCCATCTTTTCTTGTGGTGATTCTTCCCATAATGGAGTCGTAAAAAGCCAAGAGCCGTCTCAGTGCATACATCCCAGGACTGAGGGGCGATAAGTTGCATTACTGCTGGGCGATTCTGGCGATGCTTCCCGAGTTTGTTTTGTGTTTTTTTAAATGCTGGTAATTTATGGAACCGTGTCAGACATTTTTCAGTCTGCTAATCAGCCACAAATCCAGCCAAGCTTTGCAGGGTCTCTGTGTGCAGCAGTCACAGCGTGACGAGAGGTGGAAGGAGCGCAGCCAACAAACTGCAACATCTTTCTTCTTGTCGCATTTAGCTTTGTAAAAAAAAAAACCAGACCTCCTTGCGCAGGGTGCCCAATTTCGTACACATCAACCACAGGCAAAATGTCTTGGGACAGTCTTCCCGCTGACAAAGAAGGCATTCAGTGTTTCAACTTCTCAAAACCAATCATGAGGAATAGACTTCAGGTCGAACAATACATAAAAACAACGAAATCTGCCCGAGGAAAAGCCCGGGATCTGATTTTTACAAATACATATCATGAATGATGCCAAATCAGGGGAATCCATGAGAAATTACTCCATCGTTCTACTTCAACATACTAACACAGTCATTTCCCACTTTTTTTGCAAAATTAAGACACTGAAATACAGTTGTACCAATTTGAAATGACAGAAAATGACTTTTTTTACAATATAAAATTCCAGACTTCAACATATGATCCACATAGACAGGTCACTGCATACTGTGGTCTATGCAGCAGATGGGTTCTATTTTCTCTGCGCACTCAAAGAGGGCGCTCTTATCAGGGGCAGTGACCTCTCATGGCTTGTTTTACCGGTCAGCCGCATGCAATCCATTTTTGCGGTATTCTCCGAGGATGAAATCTGAGTGCATTTCCTATCTGCTCAATCGCTGCCCGGGGGAGGCTAGGCCAAGGGGTGTGTCCGTCCACAATTGTTAAGAGGGAGGATCAGGTACTTCTTGCGACGTGGCGTTACATCTGCGATCTAGGGCATCGCGAGCCAAAATAGAGTTTCACCGACACAACAGAAATTCAACACCTACCCCCTTCCAAAAGGAAAAGTTGACTTACCTGTTTGCCAACCCCCGTCTCAGTAATGGTGACTCCCATCATGTCTTCCAGATTTCTCTGATGGTCAGCTGCAAATGGAGGAGGAAAACATGGATGGAAGAATCAGGCGAACCGAGATGTAACGAGTGGAATCCAGAGAGCAATTATTCCAAAATTATCCCAGTTAATAAGGGTCATAAAATTAATTGAGCAAATTGGAGCAGACAGTCAGACCGGACACACTGCAATTTCACGAGTAATTCAATTACATATATTATTCCCAACTCATAATGGAAATGGATGGATCTGCAAATTTTTCTGAAAGGGGAATGTTTAAATTTGCCTGTAGCAATAGTCCTGTGGCTTCACAGGTTCTTATCAGCATATCTGCTGAAATGTGTATCCCTATTAAATGAAGAAGTTGGTGGAGTTCTGAAATATAAGCACTGTGGATCGAACTGGCATGTTGATGCAGGCAGAGACTTTCTCTGGGAAGGTGCTGTTTTTGTTGGCCAAAGGCAGTTTTATCCACAAATGTTCAATTCACGCGTGACCTCCCTCGCTGCTTCAAGATGCAGACGAAAGAATTTCAAGCCCTCGTAATGCTACGTTTGGGTCCCTTCCGGAAACTCATTCTTTGCGACCTGAAATGTGACAGCCTAGAACCTGAACCGTGCCTCATTCCATTAAAACCTCTGATGCATGAGCAAATATACACGTACCAGTCCCTTTACTTCTGCTCCCCAATCCTTACTCCGCGGAATATATATATAAAAAAAAAAGCCTTGCAATTCTGGACAACTGGGCCAGGGGAAACACGAAACCTAATGAAATAAGCTACAGCCTTGCTAACACAAACAAGCGCGAGCACATTACACATTTCGCCTGCCCGTACCAGAAAAGTGAATAAATGGTCTCAGACGTTAAAAGGATTCGTCTCCTTTTTCTTTTCTCAGATCAAGATTGATGTCAGGTATGCAACATCCTGCCTCGTCGTTGAACGATGCAGTGGCGGTTATTTTAATCGGGTAAGCACGGGACGAGTTTTTACTGCTTCCTTAGGTTGCCGCGGCACTGAGGAATCAAGCGTGTTGATTAGTCCATTGACACAAGCCGTCTATTGTTGGAAGTTTCTCTTCCCTCCCCCAAAAAACAAAATGCTACTGGGCTTCGGCACCTGGCTCAAATTCAGCTCTAGAGGGCCTCCTCTAAAAAAAATAAAAAACAAGAGCAAGTTCAGGCAGTTCTTCATAATCATTCTCGTGGCGCATATTTGTTTGGGTGCTTGGAATGATTCAAACTCACTTCCATGCTCTAACAAGGTCTTTTTTTTGAGAGGCCTTGAACCTATAAAACAAAATACATCATCCAACAGAAAAATTGGACATGCATGCATATGACCACAAATGGCATGGAACACAGGGATCATTATAAAATGTGAATTTTTTTCAAAATTGGGAACGAGTTTGATATCATGGCTGGAAAAAAATTCAGATTTATAGTTTTCCAATTATGAAAGAATACTAATTTCAAACAAAAGAAAAACGGCAACAAAGAAATATATACCGGGGTACTACTCAAAAATATTCAAGGGACATGTTGATGCTTCTTTCATTGAATGTTACCCCTTTGAGAAGTATTTTGGTTGTGTCAGACTCATTGTGGGTGAAGTTAAGCATTTTTTCAAAACAAAATTGCATCGAGTAAGGTGAAATCACGCATGACTTTTACCAGCTGGACCTAAGATTGTCCAAATGGCCACGCAGAGTGCTGCTATCGACAGATAGTTTATAAAGGCTTAACCTAATCACGTTCCTTTACCATTTTATGGCAGTTTAAAATAATGCATGAAAGTACACAATGAACTTGACAATTACAATTTTGATGTCAAGTGGAGTCCAGTTAAGGGCGCCCCCTTGAGACCAGGGTTACGTGCATTTATGTACACCTGTACGGAAGTGATGTCCGATGGCTCCAATCAGCAAAAAGCATGACAGACCAGCAAGCCGGGCACCTTACTGTCCCGGCAAAATCTATCGACTGTCCATCGAGTGGCATATGCCAGATTTCTTGCAGCCAAACCAAAAAGAAATACAAAGCAGCGAGAATTTCAAGGCCTCGGGGTGGGGGAGGGAGGTAAGATTTTTCTTGTAATGTCGTAAAACGTGGCCTGAGGAAGACTCAACTGAAGAAGTAATCAATTTGGGGGGGATTGGTTTCAAACGGCTCATTAAGCATTGCATTCTACGAGACCGCGTTTGTAGCAAGTTGTCAACAATTTACTGATAAAAAGATTTCTACACATATTAAAATACAAGTGAATGGCAACTCCTAACATATAGAATAAATGCAAATGTTTTAATAAGATTAGAATTGTTTAAATGCAGAAAACACATGCATATTATAAGCAACAACAGACATAACACTTTTTCCAATACATATCACTTGTGGAAAAGAAAAACTGTTGCTACTTAACAAATTGTTTATTTTATTTTAGAAATGCTTTATAGGAAGACTCATTCACTTGTTTGTATTTTCTATGAACTCTACTCGTGGTTTGTACATACACACAAATCAGGCATTCACAGAGGCACACATGTATTTATACATGAGCACGCTGACTGGTTTGTAACACAAGAGGGGGCTATTACAGTTTGTTGACTGCACTTTTTCCACTTGGCTTGGCAATTTTTACCTGCCCGTCTAGGGAGGCGACCCTTTTGAAAGCCCCAAACTCAACTGCACTTAGTATCTGGTTTTTATTTGTTTGGGTTATTTTTGCTTTTTTTTTTTAATTAGAAGCCTTTGCTAGATGGAACTGATTAAACAAAGCTACAACAAACTGATCGGGTGGATCTTGTTTCTGTCTCTACAATTCGCCACAAGCAAGGTCGGATTTCTCCACGACAGGCCATCAGCAACACTTCCCATGCCGATCAGACTTTACCATATGAATCTAACACAAACAAGGCTTTCTTTTCAAAATCCGAGCAGCGAATGGCAGGCATTTCATGTTGCACTTAATTATCAGCAGGTGTCCTGCTATAATTTAATGATTTCTTTTTCTGCTGAGGCAGACACACAGGACGGGCTCGTGCGTCGTAGATAACACAAACATCAGTCTCCAGTCACACGAAGGGAGGGGGGGAATCATTGGAAACATCTTGTCTGAACACCGGCCACACATTTGGTAATTGAGTTAAAGCGGAAGGCCTGTCAATGCAGACTGAAACTTCATCCGTTGAGAAAGAGTCAACAACAATGTTAGCTTGGTGTGCATGAATGTTGAGATTGAATCTAAATCTTTTGAAAGCAACCTCCTGTAATGTCGGAGCATGCATGTGCCTCAAGTGTTGTGACTGAATGCGAGACAGGATACACAACGGTTGAAATTGAAATGATTCAGTCAAATTGATTTGATCGTTTGAATCACTTGATTAAAGAATTCTTGTTACATTTAGGTGGTTGGAAGGCGTCATTGACAATTTCTCCTGAAAGAATTATCGACACCATCCAGTCACAGCTTTCAGCCACACTGTGACAAAGGAATCAGAGACTCAAATACTCCTACAAACCCCTGCTCGGAGGTGCAGGCCATCTCACAGTCAACTACCCACGGGAAGATTGCAAAGGGTGAACGACCGAGTAAAACCTGGGACCTCCGGGGGGAAAAAGTCAGCCGGGATTTCCAACTGGACACCACAACAGCCGGGTTTGTACTTCAGGCAAACGTCAAACATGACAAGCAAAGTGAATTCGACATCATGAAATGTCAGCGGTGAAATCCACTCAAGCTGGGATATGAGGTGTGTTGAACTTCTGCAAACTCTTAATGCAAAAATTTGATCTGACATCACCAGAAATCCCATTTGTGTTCCCTTTCATGCCTAATTATGGGGTACTGTCCGGCGCCTTCCACCCTGGCCACCCAGGTTTGAATCCCACCTGGGCTGACAGGCGGGATTGGGCTGTCAGTCCCTATTTTGTGACGAAGGTTTAATACACCAAGCCTATTAATCTGTGATCTGTTCTCCCATGTTTAAGTTCAAACACTTCCTCACTGCCTTCTCCAGCCATGTTTCTTTGGCTCGGCCGGCTACCATGCACGGATGCCATTCAGGAATTCAAAAGATTTCATTACCACAAAAACTGATAAACGCCTCAATACTCTGCCTCCTGATTCTGCACTGTGCATCCCTGAGCCGATTTCTGTAGATCTGCTCATTAAAGTTGAGCTGCAGTTCTGGCATCTATTGATTTATTCCGGCCCAATAAAAGCAAACATCCATATCATCAAACCCTTCCTCACATTATTGATTTTAGATAAACAACCATAACAGTGCTCTGCTATTCTGTCCAATACATCTGCCTTGTGTTTCCAACATCTCTTTTGTAGTTGGTGCTATAAACATAACAGGCTTGCCAATGACACCAACCGGTACAAAGACCTGCTATCTTATGGGATTTGTCTATGTGCTTGTTGGTCCGTTTGGTTAGAAAATATCTGTTGATCACACAACAGAGCAAGGATTTCATTTTTGTGACCAAAAAAAAAAGGAACACAAACCTCAAAACAAACGGCAAATATAGATGGGAAATTCTTAGAATCTGTACGGCACGTAGGTGCATTTTCGGGGGTGAACGGTTTCAGCTTGTCCGTAATTCAATTTGTTTACCGTCTTATTAAATCTGCCCGAGGTTTATATACTGTGCATGTCAGTGGCAGAGTCTCATAAACAAACGGCACTCTCTCCGTGTCTGACTGTAAGTAATGGAATTGACTTCGGGTTGTTTGCTTTAATCAGAGGGTTACAATTATAGAAAGTGAAATTTCAAGAAAAGTTGATCACTGAAACAAAGGAAGCACGTGACGCAACCCAACAAAATGAGTCACATTTGGTCAGCACTACCTTCTTTGAGTTCCAAGCCTTACCAGAACCTGCATCATAGAGGTTAACAGTAACCACCTGACTTATGAAACCTAGGCACGGATGACAAGAAGAGTTGGATGCACATGTATTCCTTCCAATGCATCTAAAAAGGAGTACATGAAAGCTACATAAAAACAGTGAAGATTTATTTCATTGAATCTTGTCACAGATTCACAGTGCATGAACTTCAATTAAGGAAATGCGACCCAAAGTTGTTCTATTATGGAGATGCCATCCACACAGTGTTCAGCGAGAGAGGGTTGTCCTTGCAACAAGACGGAGCAACGGCAGAATTCCCGATCGCTTTCTTCCCTGGGAGTCAGACAAGAAAAAGCAGGCAGCGTCGACAGCAGCACAAAGTGCCCGAAACGGTAGCCGTGTGATAATCACCTGTGCCACAGGCCGAAATGGACTGAATTTTATTGCGTCTCTATTCAGAAGCTACGTTTAGCATTGACCCTTCACACGACTGTTGCTCCTCTGCTTTTGTGAGAGAAGAGCAACAAATGTCTGGTCTGCAGATCCTTCGCAATACCCGCGCCATTTATCAGCAGTTCATGTAACTTCCCCGTGAACGCCGCGAGCTGTGTGCCCAAAACCGACTGCAATTTATGGAGCATCAATTCTTTTTATGTGAACAGACCTTCCTTCTGGCAGAATTTTAAAAGTCAAAGCATTCGAAGCATCAGGTCAATTTGACAAAGCAAAAAACTCTGAATGAAAACGCTCCATTCCCACCGTATGAACAGCGAGCGCATTATGCATCTCGCAAATTTCATGCACATTTTTTGTTTTCTGTGTAAAGCCGACATGCAAATTTGGGACACTCCGGGATCCGAGCAGCTGTTACCAAATGTAGCACATTTGGTGAATGCTTAATTAGGCCAACAGGTGTGCGCGCATTAAACATCGTGGCAATTCAGCATCAAGAGGCCTACATACTAGTAAACGCAGTGACTAGTTTATGTTCAGGGTCACTGCCGCTTGCTGGCAGGAGCTCTTTTGATTTCCCCTCGTGAGATGCCGAGCTCCATTTTGGTCAGCGTCGGTCAGAAACCACTTCAGAGATTGTGTGCAGGCTCACAAAAACAGACAAACGGGCTTTTGTGGTGTAACTTAGTTCCAGGGTTATATTGAGAGCGAAGCCCAAGCAGAAGGGGATACAAGGGTAAAATGGGGAGGAAAATATCCATATTTCTTATTACAGAATGCTGATTGATTTGTAAGACATCCATGGAGTCTGTTTTAGGTTTATACTATTGAACCCTAGAAATCCCCAAATTACCAAACTCCAACACTAAGGTTTGTTGGAATCTGTTGGAATGAGTACTACACTAGTAAACTGACTGGGTTTTGTATGGGATTAGGCATACCACAAATACATTGTAAACAGAGTCCAACTGTTTGTGTGCACAGTTTATTATACGGTGTTGGGATTTGCAGGGATGTTGAAGGTTCCATGTAAATCACTCAAGGGAGATGGGGTTCAATGTTACTGTTAATCGGCTCAAATTGGGGGAAACTGCAGAGACATTTACACTACATGCAAGGAGTTCAGGGCAACAGCACTCTTGGCCGCGAACAAGTTGAATTTACCACTTTCATTTTCAAACAAATGTGAAATCAAACAAGTCAGCTTTTTTGTGGGTAAGCAAGTGCACCTAATTTTTAAACATGGTTATGCAGAGGACAACAACTCATGCGTCGTGTGTTTGATTTTGTTTGATGAAAACATTCACCAAATGTGCCGACAAGGACAACAGACCAGGTGCTACAGAGAGCATCATCAGTTCAAAAAATTTCCACGCTAGAGTTGTCAGCAACTGCTGTGAACAAAGGAAAAGAACAGAGCGAGAGAGAGACAATGGAACGGAACATAATCCAATCGCGAGGCCTGGCATCCATAGGCAAACATCCCCGACCATATGGTGTGGCCTAGTTTACATACAACTCGTGTGTGCACGTGTGTGTTCAGTTGGTGAAGGGTCAACAATAAGGGGGGGGCTGTTATTGAATTGTGACCTGTTATTATGCGGGACACAAAATGTACATGTACGCGTACGTGTACGTTTGTCCTTGGGCGGAGAGACTTTGCATTCCCACTTCAATGCTGCATTGATATGAAGGAAAAACCTGTACCATCTAATTCCGTTGACTGCCTCCTGGTCTAAATCAATGCAAATTCTTAATTGGGAGTCTGTGCTTCTTAATATCAAGAAATGACAGCACCCAGAATTATTTGGCAACAAAACTCTCAATTTTAAGATATGAAATTTCGACCAAGCTTTTCTTTCCGCGTGCACTGTATGAAATGCTGTGAATTCCTTGTATTGATTATTCTAAACAACTGAACTAAACAGGCCTGCAGCACTTGAGCACAGGTCGTAGTGTAAGGACACCACACATGTATATCACACCTTAAAGTGATTATGTGCACGTAAGATTACACAGTTGTTTCACATAAGTATTGCATGACTTCTCCAAGACCGATATAAAAGTGTCATGACCACTTTGAAAGGGTCACAAGTGTTGCAACAACAAAAAACCCCACACACAACGTGAGGCCAACTCAGGGGTAAGAAAACCGCTTGTTTGGCTCGTTGGGGCTATTTGTGAATTTTAATGAGATCAGCAACTTGTATTTTGAGCACAGTTGGTAAAAAACATTTAGTGGATACTCTCCTTTTTCATTTCAGTGGCAATTTCTTGAACTCAACGATGAGTTGAGAGATGATCTGTTTCTCTTCAGCGACATGACACCAACTGTAATTCATTGGAAGAATTCATTCCTACCGAATTACAGTCACAAGCTAGGCACTGGGAAGGCAGCCCAAACAGAAGGCAGCCCAAGCAGAGTGCCCCTTTAAAATCTGGTCAATTTCCATCCCGTCTGTACCTTTAAGACTGCAGAGGTTTTTCTCGTGCCTCTCTTGCTCTGAGAGCGGCCAGTGGACGTATCAATCTCTGGACCGACCTCCTCCACAGCCCCGGTTGCCAGGGCAACCGTCTCTGGATCAGTGGTTTTCCATTACATGAGGCTGTGTTTTTTTCACTGCTGGGGTCAGCAAAAAAGGGCAGTGTTCCCGAAGACAGAAAAAAAAATCGATAGCTTTTACCCTTTGGTTTTGGCGACGGTGAACAAAATCTCCCTGCGCCCCATCAGTTTTGCTGCGGAAAACGCCTTCACGTTGAACTGATTGAAAATTGTCAATGCTGAATTTGAGGCTGAAACGTGACACACTTATCGTTTTGTATGGAGGAATTAGAAGTTGTAAGTTAAAGGTTATCCACCAAAGTCGCAATATATGAATTTGGACTGGGAGCTTTGCTCAGAGTTCAATTGACTTTCAATTTTATTATGAATTTCAATCCAGGGAATGAACCCAAGACATTTCAATTCCAGCATTCAACCCGACAGAGCCGCAACATTTCCTTGGGAAAACCTCCCCATCCAGACCAGCGTATGACTCACGTAACTAATATAGCAAATTCGCGCAAAAAATCAGTTGGCTGTTGGCAATCCACGTATGCATCTTTCACGAGGAAATGCACTCTTGTGGCTAGTTGGAGCAAAATTCAGTTGAGCAGCAACAAAGTGAGCCATCTGAAAGCATTCTGAACTAACGGTAAGTTGCACTTATCAGTGTGTTGTCTGTTATATTTGGACTAGATAATGTTGAGTAAGGACCTCCCCAGGGTTTCCTAAGCTGGCTCCCCGCTTGCTCATCCAAAGCCAGTTATTTGCCATGGCGATGAAACTGCGGTTAAGCCTGATCACAAGCCAAGACTTCTTTCATGACCGTGAGTGACTCGTAGCTCGTGATAAGGAACTGGCTCGTAAATGACTTCTGTCCATTAAAGTAAGGGTCTTTCTGAGCAAACAAAACTCCAAGATGTGGCTGGTTATGACACGTGGCTGCCAAGGTGATGCCGTTAATTTTGAAAATGTGCAAAAACGACTCCAGACATTCTGTTTGCACGATGGATCTCTCCCCTAGAGTAAAATTGTCTTCAGGATATAGTGAAACTTCCAGGTGTGGACGATGACTGAGTCAGCCGGTCAGCTCGGCACAGAGCAGAATAAAGAAATGTATGCTGTGCGTGACTGGTTGATGCTGGAACGTTTCTATGGCAACAAACAACGATAAGTAATCTTACCTGCAGCTCCCGCGACTTCAGCTGGTGTCATGTGAATCACGTCCGGATGAACTTTAAACGTGACTTGCCTCTCATCAGTTCTGGGAGACAGAAAGAGATAGGCATCCACATAAGAAATACTGTCCAAGAAATGGAACATCTATTTATACTCATTCAATGATATACAGTGAAACAAAAACCAAATTCAGAAGACTCAACGGTCTGCAAGGAGATAAAGAAATATTGTCTAGGAATAACTGAAGAATGACATCCTTCAATTATGGTCAGCTGATATGTTCTGGTAGTAGAGTGCAGTCAGCTGACACTTATCGACCAATCAGAAGTCTTTAACTGATTTCTGTATAGGATGATGTCAGTCCAGTCAAACAAGGATTCAGGCAGGGATGGGGGGGGGGAAATCACTACACCAAGGCCTGGGTGGGATTCAAAACCCGGGCCACCGAGGTGAAAGGTGAGGAAAATACCACTGCACTCGCCTGACGCCTTCGGGCTATGACTTCACAAACGGCTGCGGTGCATGGGCAACCTTCGTGAAGCTTTGACTGGGAAAGAAACATCGCTAGCTGCAAAAATTATCCAAATCATTCAAGCCGGCACAACATGCATGCATGCCCAGAAAGTGACTACACATGTCATTCCAGTCATTCCAGTCAACTTTAACGATCACCTTCTCTCCGACTCAATCTGAGCACAATACAATCAAACCCTTCCTGGACCCAAACAAAGAGATGAAATCGAAAGTGCAGGTACTTTTCCCGATTTCTTTTCCGATAAAGCATTGAATTTCTGCCACTACAAAGCCCCCCCGCCTAAAGATGGCATCGCTCAGGAAGTGAAAACAGCGGACTTGCGGTAATTACATGTGCGTAATGTACTTGTGCTAGGACAGGCTGATTATTAGAGACTGATAATGAAGTCGCCCTCGCTCTCTCTTTGCTTGCCCCAAGCGGGGAGTCATTCAACTTGGCACCCATTATTTCTGCACGGTTGGTTCCCAGGAGGGCGTCTGAGAGCTCTCAGGGGGTTTCAGTTCAAGACCTGCTGGCCATTTGGAGGGAGTTGGGGGGGTTGAAGTTTAAAGGGACATACACAATCTGCTCTGAATGGAACAAAATAGGGTGTTTTCATTTTGGTACTCGCCACAGTCGCGCCATGAGGCACTCAAGTATGCGCGTTTGACGCCAGAGCACGCTGAACACACATAACTAATTTATTCCGGTATGTATGGTCTTTGCGTACACGCAGAACAAGTGCAAGAGCCCGCTTGTAACCACCTGTCTTTCTTTTGCTGATTGGGGGTGCACTTCAGCTCGGGGCGGATACCGGGCCCGAGTCACCGAACCTAACAGTCTTCAGTTCTGTAGCCTTGCGTTCAAAAGCAAGTGTCTGAAATAGTACCCAGACAGTCAAGACTGCCAAAGGACAGTCCTTAGAAGAGGGTTGCATGTTAAAGGGGCACACAAGGTGAGAGGGCGCCGACTCCAACAGGTAATAATAATTTCCGGATCGCATCTCACCTGAGGGACGTTTGGAAAGTCTAACGAGCCATTCCAGAAATTTGTCAGGAATGAGGGGAGGGGCAAACAACCTAAAAGAGGAGGTTTTTGAGATAATCAAAGGGGCCATACAAACAGTTTTATTACTAAAACCCTTAAAACCGCACCTTATTTTCAATATTTGTTTGGCTATTTCAATTTGTGTTGTGAAGCCGTTTCAGTTTCATGCTAGTGTCAATTTCCATACTCATGGGCAGAACTGCGAAGTCATCCCCAGCACCAAACCTCAGGTGCTGAGCAAAAACCCGCCTATAAGTTTTTGCATTTTGTTACAGATTTCCATTTCTTAGGCAATTCATTGTGGAGTATGAAAGTGCAAGGCAATAAACCAGGAAGCAGCCTTTTTTCCGAAACTGTTCTGAAAGAGCGACATTGGGGTTCAACATCTGAACATGTCAACTGAACCTAGAGTCCTCCCTGATTACACCACGAAGCAGCAGGACCCCAAGTTGTCTGGTACACCTTGGACGATTTTTAATGTTTGCAAATGTATACTTTTCAATACACCTACATTCCAAAAAGGATTCCGCACACTTCTCATTCATGAGATGAAGACTATCAAGAAGAGTCTGGGGAAAAACTCCATCGCAGGACGGGCCACTCGATCTCCAACAGAGTCGCTCAACAAGGCATAGGACATGAACGGTTCTGGGGCTTTGGGAACAAAGGAGTCCATTTATCATGTTTATGCAGCCCCTCCCACCAGCCAAGTACTGAGGCTGAGAGAGTTCACAGTGTCTGCGCGTATACATTCAAGAGATCGAAGCACGTCAAGTGTCGATGATGCTCATCACAGCAGCCCGGGTAATTTTTCTTCTGAAATCGTTCAAATCGTTCCATCGTGCACCCTGCTGAATGGGAAGAGCCATCAACACCGCGCACACACTGTGGAGCTTTGCTGATTTGCGGGGGGGGGGGGGAGCGGGAGAAGAGTGCAGCACATGTAACCGAGGTGTGCAACCTTCACTTGGCCGCTCTTCGGGATTAATAACACATTCCCTGTTCTCCCTCAATATCTCTACCGGCATGACCGATTTGTCACCTCAAACAGCTAACAATACAATACCTTTGCTCATACACTGTCATTAACTCCCCCCCCGACAAAAGAAAACTGAACGTGACTTTCAGAAGGCTTGAAATTCCATGCACGGTGAAACCTTGAACTCCAAGGGAATCGGAGGTGCACTTTCGGTTCCTTAAATATTTATGCTCCATTAATGACTGTTATGCGTCAGGAACACGGAATGGGGACATCATTATACTTTGCCGACGTCTCCGGCAAATGAATTGGCGCCATTTAATCTTTTTTTGGGGGGGTTGCTCACTTGATAAAATCTGACATTATGGCGATGGGCAATAATCCTCGACTCACAGAAGTAGGCAAACGAGTGTGACTGCATGTGTTTCTGGCGCTAACAGAAAATAAAATGATAGCCAGCTATTAATCTATCGCTCACACTTCAAGACTAAATAAAACAGGAGTTCACAAATAAAAGTGACAGGAGTTCACAAATAAAAGTGACACATAGTAATGTTGCCATTTCCTCAACGCATGCAGGGCTAACATGAAAATTTACATGAGCTTCAACCATCTTTAAATAGGAGGAAAAAATAAGTTCGCCAAGGTCACGGGGAAAATTACCTTTTCACCAAAATTCTTTTACGGTAAACAGGAACCGAAATGTCACCGCATGTTTACCAGGTAATGGCTTTTGTGCAAGGAACTCCTTGCTTGAGAAAAAAAAAAAAATCCCAGCACTGCTCTCAACTGCGGGACCCGAGGCCATACATATGGATTTGGCATCTTAGTCTCTTTCCAGCCGTTGCCAGGGGGGAAACACTGGCTGTTTGTTTTCCCCATCTCCCCTCCCACATTAAAACCGATTTAATCCCGACTCCCTGAGCACGGAAGTGGACGGGACCCCCTGGGTGTTTCAAACTCTCTGTCTACACTTGCAACATAGGTATTAAAAAAAGACCATTGAGGACTGGAATCTATTTCATCAGGAAAAAAAAAGAGCTAGAGACGGTTACATTTCAAATGCTGTAATCGGAAATTTGGTCGTGGCTGGATCATGGAAACAAGTAAGGTTTATTGGCAGAAGTAGAGAGGATCCAAAGTGGAATCAAATGCGTTGAAGAATGAGCATGAAACAAAATTGTCAATAAACATTGACCAGTGCAGCTACAGATAACACCTGTTCAAAACTGTCTGATGCTTTGTATCATTTGTTGACAAACAACCCAAGATGATTGATAGAAATCACCAATAAATTCACACATTGTTTTCAACGTCTCTGACTGTTACAGGTAAAATTACAGTGATATGTATGCCTATTTCTTCACAGCCCTGAACGCCTTTGTGATAACAATGCATTGCTACCGAATTGAGAACAACCAGGTTCGTAAACATATCGAGGCTACCGAGGACCATGGAATTCAGCGGACAGAATTCCATACAACAGTGGTGTGGTCACGCGCCACACCGTCTGAAAAATGCTCCAGCCTTTTTTTTTTTTTCTTCTGACATTCGATTCCTCGAGGGGGGGATCAGCCAGTACTTTTTTCTCTCCCGAGGATGGCCAAAGACTGAGAAACTACATGACGTCAACGGGTTGATGGTGGGGTCCGAGCAGCGATCGCTTCGCGCTGGGCTGTGTAACACGATCGCTCGGGTGATTAATTAAACTTCGCCAGCCACCCACACTAGGGCCAAGCCACAACAAAAGCACCAGGCGAAGGGTAACAACCACACGTACAATAGATATGTCATTACAGATTGTCCAGACAACACCCGTGATCCTCCTGAATACAGCAATCAGTCCACCCCGAGCAGAAGCACCCCCTCATCGGTTGAAAAGAGCCATATTGGTCAGGAGTGTTTACTTTGTTGGTAGCGACGCGACCGTAACATGTGCATTTCATTCTGACCAAAGGAGACTCCGCTGCTAAAGAAAATTGCACCCAGTCTTGGTCCAGCTCAAAGCTCATTATGCCGGAAAAGGTTTTCCCTCCAACTTTCGAAAGAAACATTACAGGGAACGCTGGCAAATATTTACATACATGCATACATTTGATGTCTGACAAATGCCTTGTTCCTTACAGGCTATGGTGTATTCTATTTACCTACAAAAAATTTTCAAAAATGACACATTTCAAAGTAGAACTGATACTGGCCCCAATGCTCGCAGTTTGTCGAGATCTGACCCTGTCATGGGTGAGTGTTCTCTGTGCTTGAGACGTAAACGCTCACACTTTAAAAGCAGACACTGGGATCTCTTTGCACGTTCAATTCATTTCTGATTATTGGTGCTTGCGTATTGATTGGCCATGTCAAAGGTCATGTAAAAAAGATTCTTGGGAAAGTTGATACATGTAGCCGCTGGAGCAAGGGGATTCTAGAGCCAATTTCAGCCTTCTACCGAGCACAGGAAATAACTGGTATTAAGCAAAATCATGCAGTCAACAGCCGGGCATTACAAACATGTAATTACCACATAAACAAGTGAAGCAATGAAAAAATT